AACTATTTGTTCAGAGATATGGTGAAAATAATATTATGTGAAATTACATATCTGTCATTGGAGGAGGACCCCCAAACACCCCAACCAAGACCACCAAAATGATAATCTAAACCTCACATTAAACTATGGGAAAACGCTTGCATGCTCATGGACACAAGAGCAATGTTGCTGAGACATGTTGTGTTGGGGTTTTATATTCACACAAAAATTTAGCTTCACCTCCGCTGCTACAACTCCATCCTAGGGGAAACACTGTACTCTTAAGTTTATTCCATGCACAGTCAAGGGCTTCACCAGGTTTGTCATGTCGCCAATCTTGGCAACAATTATCTTACGTCGCAAATATTGCATGGTGCGCTGTTGCATCAAGCCTGGTGCAATGTAGCCACACTTCTGATTTTCTCCACGTGTTTTACATCCACGGGCCACGTCTCTGTGCGTAACTGGCGTGAACGTCACTACAGCCACTTACAATCACTTTTTTGGGGGGGGGGCACATCAAGCATGCTGCATGCTTATTGGCTCATTAACGTTAACAAGAACCTTTACGTATCGAAATTTGGTACCGAAAGACAAGACATTTTTTGATACTCGATGGTATTGAGGCAATTCGGTCGGTGCCTAAAAAGTATTGAACTTGATACCTAGCCCTACTGGGGACAGAGATGATTTACCTTACAGACAGGTGTATTGATAAAGTATTGTCTTTTTACTCAGGAAGGTTTTATTGCACGTACTTACACTAGGCCTAACGAGGTGTTGACAACTCCAGTAGTTTGGAGCGAACTTAACTTCACTGTCTCCACCACATCTCACTCTACTGGCCGCTTTGTGTGTGTGTGTGTGTGTCTCAAGATAAATCAGATTAGACGCTCAAGACATAACGTTACATTATAGGACCCACTAGTCTAGATAGCAGTATTGATAAGCTCGGACCTTATTGATTTTCGGGTTTTGAGAAATTTTGGAACTGGGTCATTTTAGAACCGTTTCTCGATCACCATCCCTACTTAGCGCTAGCCAAACTGATTAGCATGTTAGCCGTTAGTTAGCTCGCCAGTTAAATAAGTTCACCAACTAGCCCTGAGTCGTCACTGAGATTCTGGTTGGGCTTTTAAACTAATGCAGTTACTGTTTGTATCAAACATTTAATTTAGAGAACACACTCACACTGCATTGGACGATGTCAACAATGAATCACTGGGACGATGGACGATGACATTGATAGGCTATGTAATTAACAAGCTGGCATGCGGTGCACCTGCTGCCGTGAAAAAGGATCACGGGTGGAAATATCCAGAAAAATTATGAGTTCTGTGTCTTTTCTGCGACTTAATAAAATATAACCTACTGCTTATGGAAAAACTCAGGGGAGCAGACAGGGAGAGAGAGGTGGGGAAACCTGGTGTGTTTGCAGTGAGAGACCAGAGGTAAAGGTGTGTGTGAGTGAGTGCAGGGAGAAGTCGAGGCAGGTGCAAAGCAGGTACATTTGGAAATAATAATAAAAATAATGTCCGTGGGGATTAAAACATGCTTTCACAGGGTGTAAAGTGTAAAAATTTTCCAATAAAGAAATGTGCAATTCCACATAATTTTGGAACATTGTTATTACCACATCTGTGAATAACAAGTAGAGTAAGATTTTGAATAAACTACACCCAACAGCTAAATAAGTCTACATACAATAATGAGCATACTTATTGGTTGTGGAGCAGTAGATAAGACACATGCCTTTGGTGTGAGAGACCTGCGTTCGATTTCAACATCTATCAATGTGTCCCTCAGCAAGACACTTAACTCCTAGTTGTTCCAGAGGCGTGCCAACTTTTACATATATAGCAATTGTAAGTCGCTTTGGATAAAAGCATGAGTTAAATGACTAAATGTATTTATTATACAAGTGGAATACACTCCACCTGGTTCACTTTACTTGCCCCACCGCCCTTTCAGCGCTAAGGTCTGCTGACTTTGCTTGGTGTGTATGAGGCAGATGCTGCAGCATTATATTAAACTAACTTACACCAAAACTTAAGAAGCAGAGATAAAAGAACCAGTAACGTTGCAGCTTATCAATACCAACATTACAATCTTTAATAATTTAAATTTCATTTAATACCCATCCCTAAAAGAAACGTAACAGTTTGCCAAGACCACCACCCCTAGCAATGTTTCTTTAACTGGGCATTACTGAGACAAGACTATCAATTTTAAGTTTACTTATTTGGTAGACGGTTTTATCCAAAGCAACTTACATTTCAGGAACAACATACAAGCATTAACAAATCAAGATTAATTTAACTAGTTAACATGAATGCCAAACACACTTTTGAAAGGGCTGTGTAGAGTTTAAAAAGTTACAACAAAGCTGACATTTTTTACCAAATGTATTTCAGTGTTTTCTGTTTTCTTTAAAATATAAACTGCTGGATTTTAGTCCAGATGGTTGCATCAGAATGTTGATTAAACCATTGTTTGTATCCTCTTTGTAATGTGAAGAAAACTGACACCTCTTTGTTTAGTGCCAGAAGGACTGTTTTGTTTTAACTGTTTCATTGACACTTAAGATAGGGTGTCAACCATTTTGTAGAAAATCCCTGTTGTTCTCTATGATTAGTTTAGAGCAAAAGACTGTTTATTCCTGGAGAATAAAGAGGGGTTTCTCCTCTGGGATCGGCGCTCTTTTGTCTGACCAAAAGTAATGAATACAATAATGGTACACCCTTCCTTATTGGGTGACAAAGAAACCAACCAAACAACCAATGACTATGGACCGAAGCCATGTGGAGGCAAAAGGACCCGCCCACATACCTGGAGGATATAAACAACTAATTTTGTGAGAATCCGGACTGTAAGCCGTGGATCTGAGAGGAGAAGCAGCTTTTCAGTCCACTGCTGGAGGCGGCTTTAGCTTAGTCTGTTAGGACTTGACTGAAAGCTGTAAATCTGAAAGGAGGACCAACTTTTCAGTCCACTGCAGTGTTATTTGTTTGTTCTGTAATGCCATCTTTTTATTCACCAATTTTGTAATTAAATCTTTTTGTTAATTTTGGACAGAGCCTCTCGATCCTTTCTCAAAATCTCAAAACGCAACAGCTGTTAAAGTAAATCAGTAAGGTAACGTTAACGCTACTTACTACTAAATAGGCAGTTACTTATTCATGCTACACTAATTTGCTACGTCCTTGTAAGAATGCCCGCGAATTGTTAGGCAGGGAAATCTACAGTACATCAAGCTTAAGTTAGCTTGTTTAATGTTAGCCAACTCCTCACACATGGACATTTTAACTGATATGAAAGATTCCAAATATTGCAACAAAATCACTCTTCCCCGATGACAATGTTAACGTTACCTCTTGCCAACACGGTCTAGTTTGACATTAACTAGTAAGTTACTTAGCTTCTCAATTTAATGGCACACTTAAGCTAGCCGTCAACTCGGTCACTTTAGCCCTTCGGAATTCTGTTTAAAGATAAAACCAGCCAGCTGGAGTTCATGGTGAACATCAATATCAAGTTATTCTACAACACTGCTTCTGTTAAAATACAAAACAATGGTTTAACATGTAGGAGAGACTTACCACAGTTCAGTGACGGGATGTTGCAATGTGGATGGCCATGCAACGTCGATGCTCGTTTTACTTTCACAAAATGCGTGTTGCCGCCAACATATACATGACATTACGCGTGAGCGCTGACGTGACGCTTTTGTGACGTCCCAGCTTCGAACGTCACAAAATTGTGGATCAGTTCGCCGCATTCCTGTTATGCTAACGTAACGCCTTGGCTGACAGTCACAAACACTTATGATTTTCCATCTGGGGTTGCTCCTTGTTAATGTTGCTTCAGATAGAAGCCAAATGATGAAATATTACACAATTAGTCTAGTGTAAAATATATTTGATTGGCAAACTCAATTCTTAGCCACACAATCTTAGGTTAGGTTAAATAAATTTGCAGGATGACCCTGCATTTTCCTTTCTTTTCAATGCCAGCTACTTTCAATTGTCTCATTTGCAGTTTTCCGGTACATGATCACTTTAAATGCAATTTACAAGCTTATTTTTAAATTCCTGGGCTGCTCTGAACGCATAACCCAAGACAGAAAATCTTCAATTTCGCTCAGATTTTATGTGCTGAGCATGACTTTTTATTTTTCTATCTGTCCAAGAGACCAACTCCATCCATGATCAGGCGCCATACGGTCTACTGAAGTCTCATAACTGTTTATAATGAACTTTAGAATTTTGTCCTCATTCTCTTACAGTTGAGTCAGATTATAAAGCGTTATAGAGTCAGTATAGACAGAAGGAATCACCACCAGTAACTCTTAACATTTTGGCATGTGAGTATTGTATCAAAACAGGCTTGGGAAAAATAAAAAAAATATGCTTTTAAGTGTGCGGGGGGCACCGATGAGTATGCAGTGCTAGCTTTCTTTTATAATTATTCTCATAACTGGATTATTTGTATTTTGCAGTGCAAAGATGAACCAGACATTGCTGACACTCCTCACTGTGGTCACTGACGCTCCTGGTGCGGTCCGCTTCAGCCAAAGTGAAAGGTGGCTGCGGATGAATTTGTCTGTTTCTCTGGGGGTGGTGATGGAACATTTTTTCTTGGGGTGGTGATGGAACAGTGGATAAGACATATGCCTTTGGTGTGAGAGACCCGGGTTTAATTCCCCATTGTGACACGTACACCAACGTGTCCCTGACCAGGACACTTTACCCCTAGTTGCTCCAGGGGCGTGCGACCTCTGACATATAAAGCTATTGTAAGTAGCTTTGAATAAAAGCGTCAGCTAAATGTTTATGTAACTCATGTACAAACTCCTGAAAGCACTTCTGAACTGGCGGTTCAGGCCAGCTGTGACAAGGTCCACAAGATAAGGTACGCACACAGTCACACACACACTGACGGGTGACATCACTGCGGTGGCTAATAATACGACTTCCTCCTCCTGCAGGTACATCGACCTGTTCGCCCGGGCGGAGGAGTATGAAGACTCCCAGACCAAGCCTCCCAAGTCCCGCCGTAAGGCTCCAGCCCCATCGCCTGGCTCCCGGAAAGAAGTGGCTCCACCCCCCAACAATGAGGAGGAGAGCACCTCCAGCAGCGCGTCAGTACGTAGCCCCACCTCCACCTGCTCCTCTGTGTGAGGACAACCTGAATCTGCGTCTCGTTCTTTGATTGGTCCAAAAGTACAATGGAAAATTTTATATTTAATGTGTCTGATTTGTGAAACCAGAAAGCAGCTCTGTGTCCTCACCAAGAAGGAACCTCCAGGTTTGAAAAGTGAAGCTTCAAACCTGCATTCTCTCTAACAGCCAGCAGGGGGCGACTCCACTGGATCGTATAGAAGTCTATGAGAAAATGTGGCTACTTCCCAGCTGATCTATTACTTCAGTAAACACTTTTCTAATGATTTCATGGTCTCAGTTGTTAGTCTTCTTCAACACAGTATGATGTTCATTTAGTAAATTATGGTCCCATTTAGAGGAAAATAGACCAGAAAGCAGGGGAGGCTTTAGTGCGGGGCTACCTTGTGATTGCCAAGTTGCTATGTGTGAGCAAAATATGGTACCTCATGGATGTTCAGTCTGTGTTCAGGACGGAGCGGAACACCTCTTTTCCCTCAGCTGGACAGAAAGGCTGGAATAAAATACAATTAAATTAAATTAATAAGTCAGGTATGATATTGTAATACAGGCTACATTTCTTTCTCTATATTTAACCATATCAATATAACTGTATTAATCAATACAATTTCTTAAGCTTTGGATTACTGTCCAATATCAAAAAAACAATCTGATTACTCAAAAACTAATTGTAATGGACTCCACCAGTTTGCTTACTTTAATTTTTGAACGAACATGCATTGTTGTGTTCCTTAATAGCAAATAATGAAAGCCCACGCCATCCTTTACATTGAAATCCGGAAGTATTCCTTTGTGGGATCTGCAGTAGCTTTAAAGTGGCCAAATATTATAGTGTCCATGAAACTTCCTTTTCATTCAATGTCCATTCAGTTTTTTGCGGGCAATAAAACATGTGAAAGGATAAGTAACATAAGTAGCCTAAAAATAACGTTCCATGCTATGTAAAATTATAGAGCAATTGTGTTTTTACAGCGCTTCAAATTTCACAAAGTAAGCCATGTTAAAAATATGGGACTTTTACTTTGGAAAATCTCTAAATTGATAGGGTAAAAAAAATCGGTCTGTGTGGAGTCATAGTTCCTGAACTCAAATGTCTGTTGTTGTCAGGAATTATTTATTTACTGTTTTTCCATTAATTTCCACAATATTTAATTATATTTTTTGTCAGATTTTTTTTTTTTTACTTTTAGGGGACAGGTTCCTGCGAATATAATAAAGGAATTTCCATATACATATTTGGTATATAAAAGTTAACACTTTTGAAAACCGGGCGTTGTCTTATCCTAACGCTAAATTCACCAATGTGGTGCGCTCGAATCGCGAACTTTAAGGATTTCATAGCCTCTCTTCAGGTAAGATGATTGCGTTGCTGTGAAAGTAACGCAATCATTCACTGTTCCTTATATAAAATCTGTGGCTCCTTCCAGCCCTATAGACCGGAGTGGGACACATTTCTGTGAACGTAAACTTAATTTCCTTTCAAGGCGCGAGACCATGCGCGAGACGCATACACTTTCTGCACTCGTCTTCAAACTACCGCACCGCCAGTGCGTTATTATTCCATCGTTAACTTCCAGAGCATGAAAGCGCTAACATTTGGGTTAACCCTGGTTCGACAGTAAGTGCATTTGATTCATACATTGAGTTTAGCGCAGAGGCTCCGTGTATTGCTGCTATATGCATGAATAAACCAATAAACATTTTTATATCCTCTCCGTGGACCTAACTTTTACCTAGTTATGATAAAGTACTTTTGTAATATAGTCACATTATGTTGATATATTGTGTAGGCTTCTTCGTGAAGCCTAGTAACTTACCGGTAGCCTATTTTAAAACTAGTTAGTGACATGACCTAAGTCTGTCTGCATTTATTTAGCTTTAGCTTAGTCGCAAACCCTAGCATGGGTGTCACATAGTCATAGTCACATAGTGTACCATTACATTACTGACATGTACAAAGAGCTCCTGGCAGTGTCAGGGCAGCCTCTATTTTTAACCTAGCCTGATTTTGTAATAACATCAGCATCATAGCTATCTGTACACAGGGACAGATTCAGCTGAGCAGCTAGCAAACACATATGAACTTTGTTCCACTGTCCCAGTCCACCTTATTTCATAAGTAGGCCTACTCAGTTCATTCAATCCTGGTTCAGACTGCGGTCTGTGGACGCTGCAGTGTCTCCTCGGGACCACCAGAGATCAGAATTTATCAAGGAATGAAGGTCTGCCCCCTCTTATAAAATGAATACCAGAATCTTTAGGACATTGCAGGTGAAAATTATCTGGAAAGCATTTTGATATTTTAATAATTAAGTCAATAATCAGACAAAAAAAAATGATTCCAGCTTCTCAAATGTAAAGATTTGCATCTTTTTTATTTAATTGTAAATTACGTTATTTTCAGGTTTTGGACTGTTGGTCAGGCAAAACAAGCCATTTCAAGAATTTCAATTATCTCGGGCTCTGGGAAATTGTGAAAGGCATTTTCACTATTTTCTGATGTTTCATTAACTTAACGTTTAGTTTATCAAATCAAAAAGTAATTAGTGATGAAATAATCATTTGTTGCATTCGTATTTAACACTGCCAAAGTAACTTCTAATAAAGAGTATAACTATAGTGGAGCAGTGGCTATAGTCCTGCAACGACAGGAGCCAGGTTTGACCATCTGCCCTACTAAAATGTCCTTCTGCGAAACAGAATCTGACTGATTAATCGGCCTACCAGTATAATCGGCCCATATCAGCAAATTCCTGATAAATTGATATTGCTGTTTATAACACTTGATAAATGACAATTAAAAAAGAAACGGAGAGAGGAAGGGGGATCCTTCAAACATGTCATGATTGTTGTTGTTGCATAGTTTGTCCAACAGAGGGCGCTCTGCAACTACCATACGGCAACCAGCTGACATAATCAGCTGTACTTTTGTTCAAAGTACTACTTACAACAATATTTAAAAAAACAGTCTTTAAACTGTATTATCTCATGTTAACTTGGTGAGGTCTCATAAAATATAACAAATGTTAGAGATGAACTTTGTTTATGTTATGTGTTTCTGGAAAAAAAAAAGAGAAAAGAATATCACCTGATATATTGGATTTTAAATTCCTCAAATATCCAAATTGGTATGGGTTTTAAAAATCCCATATCGGTCGGGCTCTATTACGTATATCTATGATAAGAGAAATTAATTAAAATTGACAGTCTCTCTCTGAGCTTCTTTAATCTGTTAATGACATTACCTCCTGTACTTTGACATTGATAAATTATTTATTTCTTGCAGTGGGGAAACACAGTACAATAAAGACGGCCTGCTACAAGGTAGAGTTTGATTGAAGATATATTCACTCAAAACATGAGATCAAAAACTCATACTTACTCATCCCTTTTCCTCCACACAGGCCAGGCTATAGATTCACCCTTGTCTGAGATCGGCCTGCAGCAGGCCGACGCTGCAGGCCGTTACCTGAAAGATGTCAAGTTCAGCAACGTGTTTGTCAGTGACATGATTCGGGCCCAGCAGGTACGATGCTTTAGTTTTAGAGTAGGAGCAAGCTCTGAATCTTAAGATGAAAACTGAATCAAAACACTGCAGGTTTGCTTATTCTACTGTGTGATCAGATGTAATAGAAATACTAATGATGTATTCATCATCTCACTTTATGACATTTGTTCCTGTGAGCAATATTAATCATAGAGTGATAGTTAGTTAGTATAAATCATAAAAAACAGCAAACAGTGTCTTTAAATCAAGAAACTCACATCTGGGAAAACATCCCCTCTTCTTTCTGTAGAGCGCTAACAGCAGTATGTCACAGAATGTCACTATGTGATGAGATGATTGTGTATTATTTCTTCCAGACTGCTGAAACAATAATGAAACACAACAGCAGCTGTTCTGGTCTACAGATGGCGTGTGACCCTTTACTTAAAGAGATTGTGAGTAGCATATCTTTTTTGTGATTTTACAACTTTATCGCAGACGTTTTTTTTCTCACATAAACATGTCCTTACATAGAAAGTAGATATATTTACTTATTGATAAATAAACCTGAGTCATCCAGTCAATGACTTGTTATTTTTCAGAGCTTCGGGACAGCAGAGGGCGGACGGGTGCAAGATGTGAGGGAGATGGCCAAGGCGGCTGGTCAGTCGTTTCCAGGCTTCACCCCTCCAAAGGGGGAGACCCAGGAGCAGGTGAGGCTTGGGTTGTAGCTGTTGTAGAAGGGTCAAGTATCTGTTTCTCGTTTCATTAATTATGTGGGCATAATTTATTTCCCTTTCTGTCCTCCTCACTATTTTTTACTATTTGTATTTGTATATCTCTCTTTGCTCTCTTTCTCTTCTTAGAAGCTTATAGTTAGTTGTGATGCTTGGCTCTTTACAGCAAGTCATGCTCTACACAGGGTGCCAATAACTGTGTTAAAGCAAAAACTTTTAATTTATTTATTACACACTGATGTGATTTTCATGTTTTAATGTGCTCTTATTGATATTCCCACACTGAAAATAAAACATGTTGCTCCATAGCAGTAATTCCGTATGTATATCAGTATCGACTCATCATCATATCCGATAATCTTTGTGCCCTTTCAGTAAGTATTTACTGTCTTTCAGTTTATTACTGGCTATTGCCCAAAAAAGTATTTACACCTTTTAAAGTTTTCATATTTAATTGCCTTACAACATTGAATAAAATAGAAAATAGAAATCAAACAGAAAACATATTTTATGTGGCTTTTTATCTATATGAATTACAAATAATAATAATAATTATAATGAAATACCAAAGACTTTAATTTGACAAGGACCTTGCTTCTGGAAGGATAGATATCCATAAATGTTGGCTTATAAAACCAAAACCTTCTGCACTGCCAAACACTGCAGGGTGAATGAAAATCTTTAGATTTATTTTTAAATCATTTTCTTGGTATTGAACCTTTAATACTAAAATTATTTTAGCCCACAGACTTACAATTGGAAAGATCATCTTGACCTTAAGATGCTTTGGGAAAATGGGACACTCATCTGTTGCACTCCCAATCTGGATCCGACCATCCGATCTGAATTCCGTGAAACAATGTACACACACCACTACTGAGTGACAGAAAACACTTATCTCCTCAGTAAATCACTTTCTCTGTATGGGCGTACACATGCTCAGGGCATCTTTGCATCCACATGATTTTATTTCTTTTCTATCTGCCAGAGCACTTGCTGTGAATCAGGAGGGTCAAAGTGCATGCCCTTCCACTGTCCAACAAGAGTGTTCGTCACTACACCTGATTTAAAAGTCACCACTTGGCTTTGTGCTATTTCTGTTAGAGGCTGTGTGGGAGGACTGTGTGTGCGTGTGCGTAGAAAGCAAATGCAAGAGAAGCACGGTGAAGTTTGTAACAGATGTTTGCTCTGTTCAGGTGAAGGAGCGGGTCAAAGCATTTTTGGAGAAAGTGCTCCAGCAGATTGGGGTCGAACACTGGCACGACAGAGGGGGGGATGAAACCTCCTCATCCACTCCACCAGAAACGTCTCCTGTGGAGGGAAAGGCAGACGATGGGGTCAGGGGCCTCTCTGTCCATGCTTTGGTTGTCACCCATGGGGCCTACATGTGTGTGGCAGTGCGCTACTTTGTGGAGGAGTTACATTGCTCCTTGCCTCCGGGTTCTGACAAAGCACATATGTTCTCTTTGAGTCCTAACACAGGTCTGTGTCGGTTTATATTAATCATGACAAAAGAGGACGACAGGTTCAAATTGTCAGGGATCCGCTGTGTGTTTGTTCACAGAGGGGACCATGTCACATAGTAGGAGCTAGATGAACGGAGGTTTTTAAGAAATGTAAAAGAGATAACTAAGAGACTCAACACTGAGTTTGATAATATTGTAGGTTATATTATTTAGAGGTTCTGTATTTATTTTTCATTTGGTGCTCAATCACCTCACAGTACAGTTTATTCAAATTTTAAAATTGACGCCAAAGTTTTTTCTTGTTTGCTCAATATAAGCATGTTTTGACAACAGAATTTTTTTTTTTTTAAACGTGTATGTCAGGTGTTGAGGTGCTGTTTATTATTGTATAGTTTAACAGTGGCATTATGTTAAGAAAACATTACACAATACTTAAATTAACTGAATTCAGAAATCCAGTTTATACTGACCAAGATATGGATTAAATAATACATATAGTGCATATGTTGCAACTGCAACAGTGTTGACTTTGTCATTGTTGTGTGTTAACACTTGGTCAACAAGCCCAAACAGATTCAATGGCTGTTGTCACTGGGATTCTGTAATTGAAACACTTCATTATGTAGGAATACTGTCAGACTTGAGCAGTTTAGTTTTCTTCTTAAAGAAGGAAATGTAGCTGTGGAAACCTGCCAACAGGAATAGAAGAAGTCTTTTTCTGATAAAACATCCACATTCAGTCTACGCTGGTTCTCATTTCTCTTTATATAGACACACAGCCTGGAACGTTTTCATTTCAGTAAAAGTGCTTCTTCATTTACATTCTCGTCTGCATTGATCTCATTTGGACATTGTTTGTTCAGGGCTAATGTTTGCCAGTTACATAACCAATTGGCTGCGTGCTTAATAACCATGTGGTTTTTGTGGCCTTTTACTTGGAAAATAATTGGTTGGTGGGCAAAATAATGTGCAGCCATTTATTTGTTGTTCTAGTAAGTCAGGGCCAAAATGTTTGTGAGACATTGTTAATTGTGATCACCGTAACCTGGTCAGGAATGTTGAAAAGAAACTTTGCTGCGGCATGTACAGGTGATTTACACTTGTTTTAATGGACCCCAAAGAAAACATGAATACAAGCGGAGAGGAAAAGACACAAGACCCGCTTTCATTCCCAGTTCCTCTCTTTCCCTCCCATTACAATTTGCTAGAAAGGAAGTTACATATATATGTGATCATGGAAGCAACAACTAAAGACAGAGTCTCTAAAGGGTGCAATTCCTTCATGCTGTGTCATACTGCTGCCTCACGGACACATATAGTATGGTATACAGTACAGCCGACAAGACACTCAGCAGAATAGTTACAGTTTATTTGTCCACATCAGAAATAACACAAGATGAAATATATAAATAATAAAACAGTAGGCTAGGAAGGAAGTCATTTAACATATTTCAATAAATAAATACCTTTTCATTGCTGTGACTATTGGTGTCCGGCACCTGACATCATTTGATCCTGTCCTTTATTGCTGCAAATGGCGGGTGATTTTTTTTCCCCCAGTTTGTTTGCTTTTAAAACTCCTGTTTTTAAAGCATTACTGCGTCAACAAATTAACCTATAAATACTCATAATTACTTACAAATTGCACATTTTTAAAAATGCAAAACAAACATTGCCACATCTGGCCCAAGGTTTAAAATTTAACTGACACAAGAGGTTAAAGGACAGCAGGACCGGGACCAAACTTGCTGCATGATTATGTCGAATGTTGCCAGACTTATCCTTCACCTGCTATTCAAACAGAAGAGCCGCCGTTATGTAACACTGTTTATGAGGCCATTACAAAGCATAATAGTTCCATCAAAACAAATTGTGAAATATTTGATTCAAGGCTTTTATAAAATGCTATCTCTTTTCTCAGAAGTTGTTTAATGCTTTTGTGTGACCTCATAAAATAACAAACCCTCTGGGATCAGTTTGACTCTAGCAGCTCGTTACAAGTCATTCTATGGCTCTCACGAATACTGAGGTCCACAAATGCAGGACAAGGTGTCAAGAAGTATCTACTCCCACTGTGCAGTTAAATGTAAAGTGAGTTTTCAGAACAAACACAAAGACTTGCAGCCCCTCTTGACTTTTTACTTATTAAACCCAAGTTCAGTATCTTAGTCTTGTTCTGCTCGGTCTGCAATATTAGTCTTGACAGGACTGACAGGCCCGTTGGGCTGTAAGACCCGCAGGGGGTCGTCACAGAAGGTGATGGTCTCTTTAGATACAGCGCCGGCCTGATCCTGGTCAGGCTTGGCAGAATGTGAGGGATGTGACTCTGATCTTAAAGGATCAGAGGGGTTCACATACTCACTCCTCCTCTGTCTCTTAACCAAGTAGAACTTCTTCACCAGGGCTAATGGAGGTTCAGGTGGCTCCTGGTGAGCAACTCGCAGTTCTGCTCCCTCCAGTTTGAGCAGCCGGCGTCCCATGAGCACTTCACGGTGGTTTGCCAAATCTAACCAAATGCACTGGAAGAGACAATCTCTGTCCTTTTGCCTCTATTGAGAAGGAAAAAGAAACAACCAAATAAAACAAGTTTAATGTTGCTGTTTTCCCTGCACTTATTTCCTGACTTCACTCAATTTAAGTTCATCTAAAAAAAATACTCACAGAGTTGTACAGATCTCCCTTTAAGTCCATACAGAGGAACCGTTTTCTTCTCAAATTAAATATTGACACAACGTAGCTTGTGTCTGTTGTTGCTGGCAAAATAACTGTAAGCAAACAGGTTTAAATATATATATATATATATATATATAGAACAGTTTTAGAAACATGTTTGAACATGAAGGTGACTGGCTGCCAGAAGTCTTGTTAGCTTGTATAGATGACATGCAAAATATGCTTTGGACACATAAATTCGAATTTATTTGTAAGTTTATCCAGAAATGTGCCATGCTGAATGTCTTTCCAAACATGTTTTACCAATTACTTTAGAATATTGCCCTCTAAAAAATGAAATGAACTAAGCTGGATGAAGACATAAATGCGATTAGTATTTAAAAGACTTAAATTTATAGACTAAATGTAAGTGGAATAGTTGTGTTTTTCTGCATATAGGCAGACTTACCCAGAAAGTGTCTGTGAATGCCTTTTCTCATTGATCCGCTCAGCTCCAAGTAGAAACCTCCCGTACCAGCGGATGTATCCGAATATGCTCCTGTGTTAAAGCTGCTCTGCTGGTGTTGTAAAAGTTGTTCTTGGTCTTGGAGCCTCGTTGTACAATCCACCGGTACAGACTTATGTACGGCAATCAGTATGAGTGAGAAGAAAGCCGGTTGCATGAATAACGGGGATGCCATAGTGTCTTTACAGCACGACTGTTCAGTTTGGTGTGCTGGCAGCTACTGTAGGAGGAGAAAGTCCAGCAGGTCTATTTAAACAGAGGGCCGTTAAACTAGCTCATTCACCATGACAAACTCATTTAAATGACTCATGGCCAACCTGTTTTTCCACGGTTAGAGGCTGCTGAGGTGGAATTCCTGCAGGTTCTAGCTGGTAAAAATACAATTTATCTTATCTAAAAAAAACTTATCTAAAAAAAACTTTTTTTAAAACCCAACGAAGATTCTACTTTACTCATGTCTGATTCTGGCACACACTTCATCAGCCTGTGTTGATTGTTGTTAAACCTGACATTGTACACGCATGTCAGTAAATTATACCTTTATAGCTTAGGTATAAATTACTGATTCTTAATGAAGATTTGAATCTGTTGTTTCAAAGTATGTTGGCTGACATCCAAGGAGAATGACTCATACCCCGTTTCTTAATGAACTGTACACACAGTCCTCTGCCTCTCACTTTCTTTCACGAAAGTAGATATTTCTTTTGTTAGATAGATTTGTGGCCTAATTTTGAGTGATTTTAATGTTTTTACCTCATTTAAAAAATTAGAAAATTCCCTGAGCTCTTGACTTCACGATTGTTTCTATAAGTTTTGATCAACTTTCGAAAGCAATTATATTCTAAAGTTGACATTGTAGAGATGGAATGCTTTCGCCTGACAAAAACCGTATGTAGGACAAATAATAACATGGTTATAAAAACGTTTATGATATAATTTTGATTGGACATTTTGAAGGCAACTTGTGATTAGATGGCTTATATTTACAATCTGAGCTGTAAATGATATTTACAGGAACTTTCACAAGTTGTATTCCTGTACAGCCTATGTACAAAGCATATTTATGAGCAGAGGCATCTATCAATTTCAGGCTCCTTGGAAGAATATTATACCACAAAGAATGGATTATGGTAGCACTCAAGAGGGTAGTGACAGTATTTTACTTATTGATGAGGGAAACAGACATTAACAGGAATTTAGGGAACCACTTTATGTTACAGGTTCCTGAAAATTACATACCTGGAGTGATATGTCATTTAATACTAAATTGAGACAAAGGTCTGTGTGAAGGAATTTTAGGCGTACTATGACACAGGTTTCCCCAGGTCATGATACGGTCAGTAGCTGAGCTAAACTAAGCCAAAGTAGACAGCCTGTGACTCTCCAAAACAGTAGGTCAGACTCTGTCTCTCCACTCTGCCTGCTTGGTCGACTGACTGATGCAACTGCCTTGATAAGGCCGAACTCTGTGGTTCATCTTCTAAGTAACCCAAGGTTGAGATTATCTTTATTTTGTTTCATTAAAGACAGACTGACTGGCTCTCTTTAGAAAGTGTTGCATGTGACTTGAATGACACACAACGTGATTTAGGTTAACTTAGGAAAGCATAGTGTCTTGTTTTGAACCAATATCCAATAGGATCTTCACACATGTGTAGAGGGGTGAACAACAATTTTATCTGGTCCACATTGTGAATCTCTGTAAGTCTAGGAGGGATAAATATCCCCCGACAGAAAGCATCCTTCAGATTTGGTTTGGTACTACACTGTGTTCTCACTCTGTAAGCCAGACAGAGCCCATATAAGGACTTTAATGCTGATGCTGTTATTGTAGTTTGCTGTGTTGAGCTGGAGAAGCATTTGTTTATTTTCACATGAATTTCTTTGAAAGACCTGCTCCATTTAAGCCCAAACAAATATTAATTTATTATTAAATACTTAAAATATATTGACTTGTATGTTTGCTTGTGACATTTTTGTACATTCAGCTGACCTGCTGTGTACTGACTAAAACTCTGTCTATTTTAAATTACAGCTATGTTCAGAAATGTACTAGGCTTAAACTAAACTCAACGATTAAGAAAAGAATCCATAAAGTGTGACTGAATTTGTACTATTTCCTGTTTCAGTTTGGTTAATTTATATCTGCATTTACTTACACATCAGTTAAAATGTTGCCCTTCTACCTGTTGTCAAGCTTCACCAGAAGAGGGCGTCACATACTGACTCATGGTAATTCATGATTTTGTCTCTAGGTTTAACAAATTTCAGTGCCTGCAATAATCTGTCATTCAGGGTCAAGAAGCATGACGATGTAAACATGTAGCTTTAAAGCATTCAGTCACAACAGCTTTTACAAAACGTCTTTTATTATCATCTCAGGAATACAGTTGACTGCTGTGCACAGCACATACGTACAAAAATAAAAGGAAAACCATTTGTCATATAGTATTTTACTTACTCGTCATCATATTTTTCAGAAACAAATGATTGGAGAAGTCTGTTGTTTCAAACTAATTTACAATCATTTCAATAATCGGAACTAAGGCAGAAGGTGAGGTATATGTTAAAAAAGAGGAGGGGGACTCAGAGGAAGCACTCTCCCCTCAGTGCAGGAATAGAAAACTGAGAGAGAAACACAAAGGCTGCTGGCACACAGGGACACACACACACACACACACACACACACACACACACACACACACACACGTCTGATCCCAGATCCTCCCACAGACCTCCAGTTCCCTGTGAACCAACACATTTTAAAACCAGCAGAACAGGTATGATAATTACAATGGCAAAATCCAGACACTGGATCCTTAATAAAAGGGGCTAACACATACCGAGTCTGTTCGTAACTCTATATGCATAATGAGGAATTAAGGACGTGAGGGTTAATGTTGAAAGATGCTATTTTTCTTACCATTAACTACCTTCTCCCAGTCACTGTTAAATCGTACAACCTTTTCTGCTTTGAAACAACAGCATGCAAAAGTTGTAGAGCTTCTAATAGAGTAATCTTTCCTTTTAACTTTCAATTGTCCAGCGTTGATAAAGCTGACACCAAGTGAAGTTGTTTCTGTTGTAAACAATAACAACTTCTCAGGTGTGCCCTACCACTTGAGGAGCCATTGTAACTTTACAATTCCCATTCAGCCATACAGCTCATCACTTGTTGTGCTGACAGCGACCTCTGAAACATATATTAAATCAGAAATCACATACAGTAATAAACACAATGTTGCCATCAAATACAAGTACTTTTGATCTTGCATGTCAGCTTGTTTTGATGAAAACATAGCAAGGGGGGGGGGGGGGGGCATATATCCCTGCACAAGTAAATTGCACTCCATGAAGATTTTGTAGATTTTGACAAATTAGCCGAAATACCTTTTCCAAGCAACTCCTCACTGCCACAAAACCTGTCCAGAAAAAGTTACAAGTGATCATTTTCTGATTATAGTGATGTGATAACGGCTGATCAGTCAAAATGAGTAATAAGACACTCAAGGTGTCAGTATTCAAAAAATATTAAACATGACATCCTGGAAGTGTCGAGTCGCTCTCTTGGATCACAGTATTCAGTCTGCCAGACAACCTGTTTAACTCAGGTCTCCCGTTCCTGGAAGCATTCGATTATTTATTTTATTTAGTGGCCGTTTGCTACAAAACCACCAGCTCAAACCACAGTCAGTGCTTTCTTTTGACAGACATCCCTCAGTGGCCTCTGTGTTGCCTTTCTCCATCCCTCTCGTCTCTATCCTCCCCTGTGAGGAGAGTACAGTACATCAGCTTGCACAGTCAGACAATGCCCTGTTATTCCTGACTCAAGGTAAATTGATCTGATACCATCTCCACTGTCGCTTTGGCAGAAACAGAACATGACAGGAGCGTGCTCAGCTGGACACACGCACACGCACACATGCTTACATACACACTCATTCTGACCAGATACTGCACATTCCTCTCTGCTACTAGACACAAGCTGGAGCTTAAAGGGCATGTAAACCATTGCTCATCAATATTTTGTCAGTGCATTACAGAAATTTTAGAAAGAGCATGAGGTAAAATACGATAACATATAAATGAGACCTTGCTACTTTCTTTTAATCATGTTTCAACCAAATTGGCCTGACAGGTGGTACCAAAATACCATCAAGTACCAAAATATAATATTTTAATTCAAAGTCATTCAAAATTGAGCTCAATCGCACCTCATTTCAACGTTAAATAGACTCCGCTCAGAAGTACAAGAAAGGTGCAGAATCATTAATATCTTCATTGCCCGTTACAAGACATTTTTGTCTTGATCAAGAAACAGGTGCAGAGCTCCGTAAAAAAAAAACAAGGTAAAAGTCGTTGAGAGGGACCAGAAAACACGCCTACATCAATAACAGGACACAGAGCCCACATCTTCGACCTTGGTACAAAAATGGCTCAGATGAATGGGACAGGAATCCAAGGGCCCTGCACCGACTGTCCAGCCTGACATCAACTGACGAGGGGCCCCACCAGTCTGATGCTCAGGTATTTTACCCCACATTATCCACATCCTCGCCAAGTTAAACAAACAACCAGTGCCACATGCAGAGTCCCATTTAAGTCCTCTGTACATCATTGCTATCTTCAACTCCGCTTGCTCTTTGTCCTCCTCCCCCTCGTCTACACAATGGAAAACTACAGTATTTGAAAGAGGAGCGCAAGCAGTTGTTGAATTCAAGTATGGTATGCTGCATACACAAAGCCTGAATGAACATTGCTGATGTAACCATTTGGTTAATTTCTTTTTGCAACATTGCTCATAGCCGTACTGTAACTCAGTGACCAATCTAAATGCATAAATAGCTTAAAAATCTGGGATCCATGAGCCCTATCCACATCATCTAAATGTCAGACTGGGTTATCTTAAGCAGTGTTCATAAATCCCAGGATCGTGAACTCTAAAGCAGTTCCAGTTCTCTCTAAACCAAACTGGAATATTTACACTATTTCAAATGAATGCAGCAGACCATCATGTTTACAGTGAATCGACAACTGAGTGCCATCCACTGGAACTGCACTCCTTTCTGCATAAACACGTTACTTTAAGTGCCAAATATCATCAAACCAGTGTGAAAGTCAAACAGCTCCCATCGTCATTTTTGCTATAAACTCAAAACGAAAATCAGCAACAAAATATCAAAGCTACAGACCAGATGCAACAGTTTGCACCAACTCAGTATGAACTGGAGGGAAATATAACATTCAACAGACAGAAATGGAGGACATTTTGCTTCATAGTGTCAGGTCTATCCACCCCCCACCTCCCACAATGAGAAAAAAAAACGTTTCCAATTAAGCTGCTCTCAAACCAAGCAATTCCACATACATACATAAAATAAATACATGCCCACACATATAGTACACACTCAATCTGGCCTGACGATCTGGCTACAAAATTTGTAAAAGTAAAACCTGGGATTGTCAAAGCTCCCTTGGACATGATAGTGGGGGGGTGTGGACTAAATCTAGCTTTCCATATTAATAACAAGAGGCTCCACTGGGTTCTGTGCAGCATAGAGTCTCAATTACTTAACTGATCTAATAATGGAAAGAAAATAAAGTGGAGAAACCTCTGGCCATCGAGGAATTGGGCTAAAGCCCCCCAGTGGTGTCTGAGGGAGTGATGACTTGCGTTTCGTTCCTATTTCTGACTTGAGCACCACATTTCTCACATGCAAGGGCAAAGGGGTCCGCAAGTAAGAATTCAAGACACCGCCACCTCATGACGAAGCAAGAAAAACCACCGTCATATTTGCAAGTGCTCCAGTTGCCCTGACAGTAACAATCGAACATAGACTGGGAAATGTCCAAGGCCTTGATGGATGACAACGAAAAAAACTAACATTTTAAGTAAACAGGCATTCTTCTCAATTCTCAAATTTCATGCACACATTTCTCTTTTTCTTCTTCCTCTTCTGCTCAGGATATGGTGCTTTGAGGTAATAACGTATCCATTTCATTTCCAAGAGGATCAACTGTCATCCGCTGACAGTGCAAGACCAATTCCAGCAAGCACCCATAAAAACTGAGGGGATAAATGACGTCTCTCCATCCCCTTCATATCAAAAAATGATGAAAATCATAAAAGCAGCAAAGAATGGCATTTCCATCATTTCTAATACAAAGTAATCTACCCAAATATACATATAAAGTTTGAATAAATACTATCAGATATAGTGGTATTTCTTTCTTTTACAGTCCATTTTGTCTTTTGTGTTTGTACGTACGTATATGGTATTTATGTTACCTGGGAAATAATCCACATGTGCAAATAAGTTTGTTATTGCCAGTTTTTGCTCATCATATTCTGGGTAGGAAGTGCGTTACAGTCATGGCAGTGGTGGCCTTGTTGCCCCTCTTCACTCGGCCATGCTTGCTGAGTGCTATGTAGGAGCCTCTGTAAACCAGAGACTCATAGGCGTTGTAGTTGTTTGGGAGCAAGCTCTCCTTGAACTTGCACTCGTCATGGAAGACTGTCTGGAGAGGACAAAGAGACAGACAGTGTGAATTTTAATGAGCTGCTCAAGAAATAGACCTTTTGTAGTTTGAAGCTATGATAGCAGAACATTAAAAGGCTCTTTAAAAATATTCTGAGCAATGCACAACAATATAAAGCTAAATTTAGATACGCACAGCAATGGGAAAAATTAATTTTGACAATGTAAAGTTATCTTTGTGCAATCTCCCAGCAGCAACAACCACTTTAAAAGGTGTATTACATTTGCTCCTTTAAAAATAGGTATTCATTTAATTGAAATATACACAGTGAGCCAAATAAACTACTATTAGAAAGTAATTTTCCACACACAAGGAAGTTCTATCAAGTGTTGGTCTATTCCCAGAAAAGACCTGAATTTAAATTAAACTGAACTGCTGAACTTTAAAGGAATAGTTTGATATTTTGGAAAATATGCTGATTCACTTTGTTGCGACAGCTACATCCAGGAGACACTGTAATGATAAGGTAACAAAATCTGCCTATACAGCCCATGCTAACCAGGAACGCGGCCAGTCGATAATGCAGTAACTTACTACAATCCATATTTATGTTTTTTGTTAGGCTGCGACCTCTAGTGGCAAAAGAAGTCAGGTGATGTGGCATAAAGAGTGACAAAGTCAACATAACGAGGTTAGTGGGGTGGATGTACTAGGTGTCAAGTAAACTAAGGACTTTCACTCAGGAGACTGAGGTTTGAGTCCCGTGAAAGTCAAAGGTGACGTGTTTTAAGTTATATGACATATTATAGATGACTTTTTGTAGATGACTTACGTCACATGACATGATAAGGTAATGTACTTATTTTAACCCAAACCACGATCTTTTCCTCAACCTAACCAAATGGTTTTGTTGCCTAAACCTAACCAAACTACTACCATTTCACAATGTTTACCACATGTTAAACGTCCGGTACGCGTGTCACTGGACTGGTACTTGCCAACTCTCGTACATGTCACCAGCACCTCTAAAGCCCACTAATTAACGTGTTTTATTTTGTTTGTTGAATTCATAGCAAATAAGCCCACGTAAAACCACAACAAATTGGTGAGCTGTAGAGGTGCTGGTAGATCCAGATTTTTACCTTTGGTAAGAGACAAGTATGCCTGTATCCCTGCATTTCCAGTCTTTATGCTAAGCTAATCGTTTCCTGGCTACAGCTTCTTGTTAAACAGACTGAGAGTGGTATGGGAGTGGTCTCGTCTAACTCTCAGCAAGCAAGCATATAAACCTATTTTCCAAAATGTCCTAAAACTATTACTTAAACTCTCAAGGACATATTTAAATTAACCAAGGTACGAGTGTAACAGAGTCCAAAGAGTCTCTAATTCCCACTTAAAGTCTCTCAATTAAAAATAATCTCTAAAGAAAGAACAATATGACTGCTCTGCTACTCTAAGCTGTGCTTGAGCAGCAGAGCAAATACTCTGTACCATGTGGCCTAATTCAATCTCTTATCAGATCATCAGCCTGCTCACAAGCTAACGCTTCATCACTCATGACCAGATAACCGACTCACATTCTGTCTGTCAAATATGTTGGCCACAGCAAGTAAACCAGCAGCCATGTGTCAGCAGGGCTCTGCTAAACACATTGTTTCCTCCCCCACCACCTGGAACATTTATGTATTAATAGCTGCCATTGCTCTAGAAGCAAACGAATGACATCGTCTAAAGGTTATCTCCAGTAACTACAAATGCAACTTGTCTGTGTGATGAGGACAAAAAGATCTGGTTTAACTAAATTATCATTTCAACCATAAGAAGTTACAGTTGAAACTGAGTTTCTTTGTTATCAGGGCAAAAAAAACAAACATAAAGGGGTCATGAATGCTTCAAAAACCTGCTTGCAATAAAAGATTTGAAAGAATTCAATAAAGTAAAGAGTAAAAAGATAAAAATAAGAAATACATATATGGTGTATACACATCTTAACCTCACCTAAAGAGTCCTCTCTCTCCTAAAACCTGTTTTTTTCAAGTGACTACACAAAACACCCAACACATTCAGCCGCAGGATCAAATGAAGGCCTTTGGGAACCTAAATTAACATGTCCATAAAACCATTGTCACAGCATTCTGGGAATTTGTGGGATACTACATTTAAGTTTTAATTACAGCCAATTATTGCTATTATTACACCTTTGAAGAATTCTTCAGAAGAATTTTCCTCTCACAATTGGTAAGAGGTGGCTGTCTGTACAGCCATTTAAAACCTGAAGAAAAAACAACCTGCACCTCACTGGTGCTGTTACACCGTGTACAAAATCCTTTATCTGCCATAACCTAATAAGCTCTAAGTCGCTTCCCATCAGGTTTGAGTCAGAGAACCAGGGTTTCCATCTTTTAAATGCAGGTGTTCTCTGAGGATGTATCAAACATGAAAAATCCAAACGGTGCTGTGCATTGAAGTGACTCTATGCCCACAACACCCCAGATGGTGCCAAATTCACACAAGGTAGCATGTTTCCTATAACTGGATGCTTCTCAGAAATAGAACATGCACAACTGCAGTTTGGTGAGAGCAGCAAACAACCATGGAAACACCTCAGATGTTATGCTGAAGTGAAACATTTTTAGAAAGATTGCAAACTTATAAAGCATAAGTCAAAGATTTATTTATTTTTTGGAGGTTATATATGTGGGAGAAGTTGCAGGTTGAGGTGAGTTGGGTGAGTTGAGTCTTTGCCGCCCAAGATGTGCACCGCCCTGCCAAATAAGCGCTTTGCCGTTAAAATCGATTTCTGCTGACAGGTTTCTTTGCGTCAGGGGGTTTTCCCTCCTCCTCCTCCTCCTCACACACACACGACCACATTACAGGCGCGTGGACCATGCATCTGTTAACCTCATCATTATTTACCCATAGGCCACCAGGCCTAGCACACTTGCTTTAAATAGAACTTTATAAATTCCTGATGAAATTAACATGGGATTTCACAACACACCCTGCTAGATATAGAGTCCCATCCATGAAATGTGACTGTGACCGACCTGCAAGTGCGTCTTGTGTTCAAGATCCCATTAACTAACATTGCTGGACAATAAATGAAATACAGTGCATACCTACCGTTCCGTATAACCTTCCACGGCTGTTCATTGCGACAAACAACTCACTCTTCACCCCATATAGGCTCACCACTCCTCTCTCCACCGTAGAGATCTCTATTAGGCCTGATACAAGACAAAGAATTATAACATTAGAGTAAAATATATGTGTATATTATAAAATAGCCTGCCAAACGATCATCCTGGCTGATCAGTGGTTTATAATGGTGACTGTAGCACAGTGCTCTCTGCGTCTATGGGTGTAACCTTGCAGATTGCTGCGCAGCATGCCGAGTCTTTGTTCTGCATCTTTCACCCCATCATACATTTGCACCCAGCCGCGTGTCAATTAAGCGCATTCTGGTTATTGCAATAATTGCAGTAATTGCATTGACGTGCACGGCCATTGGTCTCTGGACCGCCCTCGCGGGGCTGCGTAAAAATAAGTTGTGTCTAAAAGCGTCCATACATTCATGTCATGGTTGAGCTTGGGGAGGAAGGGGGAGGAAGGGGGTGTTCAGCACTGATGGATACTTATTTTAATAGATTTGTCTTGCCGTGGAGGAAATTCAATTCTCCCCCAGAGTCGGATGACATATGATCATGCAAATGAATAGAGGGGATACACTAGCCTGCTCATCACAGATCCATGCTTATTGACTCTTTTTTATGTTTATTGCATTACATTGGTGGAGGTATAACTCACTGTACTGGTTTTCATTATGTGCACCGTTTATCCCGCCGTCGGGGAGGATCTGAAGGTGAAACCCGATGCCCACGTTGCAGTAGAGCCTCCGCACTCTTTTGATGCCCAGCAGATAGTCACTCTCCCAGTTCAGCTCCGGTTTCTCCCCTGAGATCCCCAGTACAGAGCGGGAGAAGAGGGTCTCCCATCGTTTCTCCAGTAAAGTTGCATTTGTCCTGCTGCTCGGTAAAGGGTACGCTGACACGATCCCCAGCAGAAAGCCCAGGAGAACCACCGCGGTCAGCGTCCAGTGCGGCGTGCCGGCCTCGCAGGACATACTGACGAGGAGCCTTTGCGCAACGGCCATCCGGTTTACCTTCGGGCCACGTGGTCAAAATTAATGACCCTAAAAATACCGCTCTTCTTGTTTTGCTTCCTTCGGCATGCTGGCTGAGGGTTATTTTGGGAGCGCAGATCAGGGCTTTGGGCATGAAACGCAAGCCCCGGTGCAGAGGAGGAGAGGAGACGGGAGAGTGCGCGGCAGAGCTGGAGGTGATGGTGATGGTGGTGATTACCATGTTTTGCAGCTCCTCCGCGCCTCTCTCTCTCTCTCACACACACACACACTCTACCTTTCTCCCTCTCTCCCTCTCGCTCTTCCCCTATCTGTCTCTCTCTCGGTAAGAGTTCAGCATAGATCCTCTACCACTCACCAAAAACCCTGTTTGAACCTTGCCAGGGCTATCGCATCCCTAGATGACATCATGCTGACTCCACCGCTGGGACAATACAAGGGTAGAGAGGGTGGTGACAGCAGGAAAAATACCAAGTCTGTGGAGAGTTGATGGGAATAGCCTACTGTCACTGCTGGTCTGGAAGCAGAGAAAGCTTATTGGTGGCGTTCAGCGGCCGTGGGACGCGAAGGGGCTGCTCCCAAATTGGGTCGGTGGTCATATGTCTGTCAGGCAGCTTCCTTATTTAGAAGGAAGGTGTAAAAACAGGCCCACTTGTCATCGGAGAGCAATGACAGGGCTCTTGTGGTCCTGCTTCTTCTGCTGCCCCGTTCAAGAACTTTCACCCGTAAATTGTGTTCTTCTGGGCCTAGAATCACTTATTAGCTGGGGCACAGAGCCAGCAAGGTGTCCATCGCCCCTCAGCCGCTAAAATCAGGGTTCAAGACCTCAGTGCCGGCCAGCATCCGCCCTGCTGACGTGTCCGTGAGCAATACACTGGCTCTCCCTCAGCTCTGCAGCAGCGTGGTTAGGTAATGAAGGCCCAGAGTGGCATTTTAATTAAGTATCACATTTGTACAAGTGCACCAGAACCAACGCATTCCTCATGGTGCATTCGTGAGAACTATGAGGAGCAAGCTGGACATGCCAGTCATGAAATGGAACACATTGTCAGCATGCCATTCCCTGCAACATGAAAGCCTATCGTCTTTTCCATGTAATAGATAATGCCACCAGCAGCAGCATGCCCATGCGCCAGTGAGGCCCAGTGCAGTTGCGCACCAGCAGGCGCTCTTGCACACATCAGTTACCCAAGATTTCCAAAGGATGGCACTATTTCATAATTTTAATCACTGGTGGACAGCCTTTAGTCTTAGGTGTCTGTACACCAAACTGCATTGACATATTTAGACATTTAATGCAAAACAATAATCTCTTAAATAAAATAAAATGCAACTCACATTAAAATAACTCAAATAGTTACAACATATAAACAAAATTAACCATATAATGTAATATTTCAAGTTTAAGTAATTTCTTAGGTTTATATTAACACTGAGAAGTAGAATGTGTTAAAATGTGTCATAAAATCACTCAGACATCATCTCATTATCATTGCAGTTTTTTTATTTTGTATAAAATCTATTTGGTAACTGCATATGTATACACAATCTGATAGATGAATAATGAAAGTGAAAAACAACCATTTGTTATGACTGAATGCAATTATGACAGTGACACAAGTGACTAAAAGCTTGTGACAAAAACATTGATTTAAAAAACCTGGACACGACGACATCTGGCCTTAACGTAGTCGGACCATTGGCACTTTTGTTAGAAATTAAACAGATTTGGTTGAGAGCAATAGGGACTGAAAATATCTCCACTCGTTAAAGATAGTTCATCTGTTAAGTTAAACAATAAAACACATATCTGATAAGAAGATACAAGTGGTTATATAACAAATAAAGCAGTACTGACAACAGGATGAGGTTTCTTATTTGCACCAGCTGCACTAGAAAAAAAAAAATAGAAAACAAAAAAAAATCACCAAGCAAGTCCGTTGTGCGACAGGAATAAAAGGTTTCTGCTGATTCAGGCTACATGGATAATGACCACATGGGCAAATTCTGGTAACTTTCAGTATTCTCATCTGCAACTGCTTTGTTACAGACTGTCAGCAGGTATCTGCAATAAGCTCTGACATGTTAACAAAGCTACAGGATAAAGTAGGTAATGATAAAATAAATTATAGCTTTGATAATGCTTCTATACCACATCTATACAAATAATTTATCTTTTTCACATAAACAGCCTTCACCCTTGCACATACAAAAGATGCCAAGGAGGCCAATAGTTTAATACGTGCTATTTTGTAATAAAAGCATAAATAAATACATATGTACAAAAAATGTTTGAAAAATGTACAGGCACTTATAAAACATCTTTTTTTCCTGACACTTCAGCTACTGCTAGACAATATTTTCCTGTGCATTTTGGGGTGAAAAGGATCATTCAGTTGCTTGAGTGTTCTACGCTGCAGGACTGTCAACATGACAAACATCCTCTTCTGTTTTTACTTTACGGATGCGGCGCGCACCTCAGGCAAGAAGATCCTTCAGGACTATTTGTATCTTCTGAGCTCAATTCATCACCCCTCGTGTAGGCTCAGACAACTTGGATACAAAATGCTCAAATTAACTCACTTACAGGTTGTGAAACAACCATGGTGTTTACACCAACTGGCCAATTTCAAAAGCTCAACTGAAGGCCACAATACGTTGTAACATACAGCATCATATGGGCCAGGCTAAAGTCTATACAGTTCATCACAAGCAATGTGAAAAAACTGCACACACTCGAGTCATATCACACACACACACACCCTAAACACAGCTCGTCCTTTGACCCATCAATATGTACTTTGTAAACTACTCTTGCATCATTTTCAGTAACCAAATATTTCCATTTACTGCATTACTTTTTTTTGGTATTTCAGGAATGGGTGCTATGAAGTGGGCTTCCCTCAGACCTCCCCCTACATGTTTACATACAGCATTACATGTGTATGTCCTAGATTGTCATTTGAGAGTACAGTAACATGTTTGTTTAGGCTGCAGGGAAAGTGTTTTAGCAGTGGCATAAGGAGAGGATGGGATACTAAAACAAGGTACTAACCTGAGACGACTGTCCTGATCAGAAGCATAGTTGGGCAGGATGGCAGGGCACTAGACTAGACTACTCTTGATTATCTAGGCAGAGGACGCTTGATGCAATATTTCCAGTTCCAGTAAACGGCTTCATTCTTAAACCAGTCAATAACTTCACCACAACAGGTTGCATAACATAATTCCCATAGGGATATACAGTAAATCTGTATACAAAATAATTACAGTAAAACTGTTCATTAATTAATAGAGGACACTTAAAACGTGGGGAAACACATAGGATTAGGGCCAATGTCCGAGTACAGCTGAATTTTAAAAGGGGTACTCCACCAACTTTACACATAAAGGCCAGTTGACACTGTCTGGGGTAGCTTGGTCCAGTCATAGAAAATAACCCTGATGATGTCATCGTGATGTTATCAGGGTTACCTTGAGATTTCAAAAATTTGATTACATTACATACTGAGATGAGAAAAGATGACAGTAATTTACAGGTAGGGAAGGTCTAATGAAAGATGATACAGCGTTGTATTATGGGAAATGTAGCATCCATTTTTGGAGCTTGGCCCATTGTAGGGACTAAATGACAAAAATATTTTCACCATTCTTCTTCTTTTTAAAAAAAAAAATCCGTCTAACTTTATGGCGTTCCAACACTAAATCACTGGAGTACCCCTTTGAGTGTGTTTTTCATACTGGATGGACAAGTCCCATGGTCCCACTAGAAAAAATGCATTACTCTATCCATTCTGCCGTCTCAGGCCTGTCTAAATAAGATGATGACCAGTCCCCAGACTGGCTTAATGATGCTGCAGATGACTCTGCACAAGCCAACTCTGTGTTTACCATGTTGTTCAGAGTACAAAGCAGACTGTACTTGATTGACTGTAAATTGTGGATAGCTTAGGAGAACACCATTTAAAAAAAAAAAAGAAAAAAAGGTTAGTGTCTGTGTCTCTGAGGTTGATGAGTTCTACAGTAAATATTTTGCATGTAGTACCTGAGAAAAAGACAATGGGACAGAAAAGATGTCACAACAAAGAGATTTCTATAGAATTCAATTGCATTCGGTACAGAGAGTGTCTCTTGAGACACGTTCTTTCATTAGCCACTTTCTCTCATTACCTGTCACACACACACACACACACACACACACACACACACACTTCCCCAATGCAGAACTTATGTAAAAGCAACCACGTGGTACTAGAGCAAGGCATTCTGGAAACAATAGTGCATTGTTGGGGTCCAACCATGGAACCTGAATGACTGATTATTTGTCACTCCCACATCTTTTGCATGAATGCCTCAGCTTGTGAGGTCCTTTTGGTCAAAGGTGATTTGACGGACCAAGTAGATGGCGACAGCACCGAACATGGCAGAGAAGGCAATATAGGCAGTGACGGACTGTGCGAACTGAACGATCATGCCCATGAAGAGGGTAGGAAAAACCTGAGAGAGGAGGAAGGTGCTGTCCAAGATGGCAAAGTCCAAACCCACACCACGCTTCTCATACCCCAACTCTGCCTCCTCCTGTTCTGTGCCAACGGAGCTGTGAGATGAGCCGTTCTGGCTGTGTGGACTGGGGTAGTACTCAAAACTGTCCTGGCTTAAGAAAGCATTCCCATAGGGAGTCCCTGTTTTGTGATTCAGTCCATCCTCCTCTTTCACTGGTGTCAAATACACAGAGTCCCGCTTGGTTGCAATATCATTTTTATACATGCTTTTGGTTTTCCTTTTTGGCATATAGACCTGAAATGAGACAAGAAAAGAGTCAACTTATCAAATCATACTGATTTTGTCAATATACAACTTTGATGTTTACTTACCTCTTTCTCTTTGTGGTAGTGGCAGGTGAGTGTGTAGGGCAGAGTCTGCAGCGTGGCGTACGCATACCCAGTGAGGGCCGCCATTACAGTAACCAAGACCACACTTTTGGACAGGCAGATGACCAAAGCAGAGACTGTGAAGCTCACCATACTGCTCAGGTAGATCCACCGTGAGCCAAAATGGCAAACCAAACGACTCATGACCAGGGAGAAAAAGGTTGAGGTAGCACACTGCAGGAACAGGCCCAGACTGCCCATACGGATACCTGAAAGAAAAATTCAACTTGTATCACAACCAGCCGAGCCCAGGGGGAGCCAGAAACCCTACTGATTGCTCAAGCTCATGAACACACAGGCACACATCAGGGTGGGGAGACATTCACAGAGCTCTGCGGCAATGTATGGGGTGACTGGCTTGGACAATGACACACAGCATTAACCTTGGATAAATCCTTCAAAAGCCAGAGAGGGCGACACACCCAGGCCTGTCCTTGTTTACTGAAGCAATGTGACTCTTTTCCAGAGTCTGGCCCAGTGAGCCAAACAGACAAACAAGCATTTGGATGAGGTCTCAACAACTGTCTGAGGCCAAGGAGAGTTGTAGACTACTTAGCAGAATTAGATTCACTTA